AACAAAACGAAACTAACGACGTACCCGTACGAACGAACGAAAGAAGAAGTAAACGTAAGTAACGTACGTGTCTTCGTTACGTACGTTACGTTACACTACTCTCTCTCTCTCTCTCTCTCTCTCTCTCTCTCTCTCTCTCTCTCTCTCTTTTTAATGGAATATCTCCAAGAGATATACACTAAAGCCATGTCAATGAAAGACTAAAGAGGTTTAATGATGAAATTAAGTTTGCTTCTTATCATTGCCCTACAATCTCATTTACTCAATTATTTCTGAGACTTTCTAGCTGTAGAGTATTCATTCTATGTGTGTATACAGATAATGCTAAAATGAGGAATATATATTTTGGACTTTTTCAAATCACTTAAAAAATTATCTGTGTACGGCACTCTCTACAAACATCCCATATACATATAGTACATATATCAAAGACTGGTCCCAGGCCACTCCCATGGCAGCTCTCCTAAGGTAGGGAGATTCAGCCATGGGTCGATCCTCGGCTCCCGCACTTGCTCCTGCTCCAGTTCCCTCTCCCACTCCCAAAAAACTAGGGGGTGGATGATAAGGATAGGAAAGGTGCTCAGGGAATCTTCAAAAGTTCCTTTTTGAATGCCCAGGACATTTTAAGAGTTCTAAGCCTACAAGGCAAAGGCGGAGAATTAACATTAGGACTGAATGTTAACCATGCACCTATATAAAATGAAGTCCAAATGAAGGGATTTGTCTAGGAACAAAAACTAGTCAAAGCGTATAGGAAGTACCAAGTATGTAAGGACATAATGCCTGTTTTTGGCGTACAACTACAAAGAAGTTAGGGATAGGGGTCTAGAGGAAAACTCATAGAACAAAGAAGGTCAAAAGGTAGGGAAGGGGGCAAAATACTAGAGGAAGGTACATAAAACTAGTAATTTGAAGTAGGGAAACCTAGGAAGTTGTTGGTGGTGGGATTGGGGAAGGTTGTGGATGTAGGACAAAGGATCCATGATTAGGAGGGGCTTGCTCTAGAAAGTATCTATTAAAAAAAGACGGATAAAAGAAGATAAGTTTGTAATATTAGGCTTGTTTGGATTGGTAATTAATTTTATTTGGAATAGATCGTCTTATCTAAAACTAAGGCTTCATTCTACGAACGGGACTATTAAGATAGGCACTTAGTTGAGCATATCAAGAACCGAGCAATAGAAGAGCGCACTATCGCAAAAGCCATTGTGCAGTAGCATATACATTTTCTTGCCGGGACGGAGTTGCATCAGCTTAGGATATAGATTCAGCTAAGGAACGGAAGCTTAGCCAAGGCTACTCCCCCGTAGGTCATTTGGTAAGGCCTAGCCTCTCCTTTCACTCGAGCTAAAGACTCTCCCGTCGGTGTCTAAAGTCACTACGATCTCAATCTTTATTTCCTTGAATGAGGCTCCCTATATATAATAGGAATAAAGGGCTCCAACCAAAGTTTCTTTCCTTTTGCCGTTTAGGCTGCTTGGACTACCAAAGAAGCCCTACTCCTACTATGCTACGGCTAATAAAAAAATGGAGGGTCCTAGCTTATATAGAGTTATTAACTCAATAAATAAGAGCAGCTAGAGTCCGGTTTGTTTCTTCTTTCTTTTTTCTTTTCCTTTGTTGCTTGCACAAGAAGTAATTTCGGTTAAAACGCGGTGCGACTCGGAGGCCATAAGACTTCTTGGTCAGGCCAAAAAGATTGCCAACGAGATGCTCCTACCCCATCATGCCTGGCCCTTTACCTTAAGAAGAGAGGGGTATGAAGCATGGGAAACAATGCAATGAGTGTATTATAGGTAACCTTATGGAGTGGTTGCTATTGATTGATCAACACCAGTGAATTGTGCTTAGACGCTTCATAAAACTGCTGAATTACTATAGGGGCTGTTTCGCTTCTGCCAGATCTGGTTTTGCTTCCCCCCAAAGGCTCGCTCAGTGCTTGCATACTTCTCTTGCTAGCTCCACGTTCCCTACATTAGTAGGCGCTACTTAGTTAAGTTAGGTGAGCCTCGGGGGTCTTGCAGCTCCTGAATGCTATGCTATAAAGGGAGAATCCGCCGAGGAGAAGCCAAATAAGAGGAGGCTAATGTACGTTCATTCTGGTAACTAATATATTTTGGATAATATTATCTTGCTAGCTGTTATGTAATTTATTGTATTATGTATAATATTATTTGATTGTAAAACTTTTCAACGAATTCAGTTATTTTTATCTATTTCTAGCCAAAACATGTGATTTTCAGCAAATTACTATGAATAAAGTAAAAACTGCTTTTTAAAAAGATAAAACTTATGTGGAAAACTGCCTATAGGTTTATCTCAGATAACTTTATAGTGGACAATGTCAATCAACAGACAATTCATTATCATGATTAATTTTATTGAAATAGTGAATTATCAGTGACAACAAGTACATCCACACAGGCCCCTGGTTGGTAAGATTTACCAAGGACCAGGTTAAGTGTACGTTAGCATGCTCAATGATGCCTGGGATGTTTCAAAAACTGATGCCTAAATGATAAGAATTTGAACATGTAATAACTCCAAAGGGCAGACAAATATTTGACCAACATCTTTTTCTTTTTTCCTTATAAGTTCCCATTTGTTCTAACACCTCCTTTTCATGGTTTATCAATACTTACTATGGCCCATATTAGACTTGGGTTTATGGTGGCTTTGGAAGAAATACGTCACTGGGGGGAAAATACATAAGAATCTATCACTACTTAGTGTCTGTGAGATTTGATCAGATTAGTCTCTGAGTGATTCGAGACAGAAGACGATGACCGTTAACAGATGCACAAGACATTGTGTATATCTACACAGATTCATGAAATATATGCGAAGACCACTGGGATGAGGGTCTCTAATAATTTTTTCCTTCCCACTGTAGCTGACAAGAGATTTTGATACACACTGGAATGAATCGCTAATTTATTGTACATCTCTGAAGGTTCCATAAGATTTTCAGAACTTATCTCTTGGATAAAAACCAATATGCAATCTCCAAACATAGATAAGGCAGTTAATTATTTACATTGTTCCTGAAAAATGTCACTAGGAATAAGATATCCTAGAGTTAATATGCAGATCTATTCAAGAGTGAAAGAGCAAGTCCATGTACAGCTTCCAAGGCTGTTTTGTTAATTATTTACATTGTTCCTGAAAAATGCCATTAAGAATAAGACATCCTAGAGTTAATATGCAGATCTATTCAGGAGTGAAAGAGCAAGTCCATGTACAGCTTCCAAGGCTGTAAAAACAAACACATAAGGAAGAATTAAACAAGTTCCATGTCCACTATCTGACATCCAGATGCTAGCAACCAGATTCCAATGAATGAGACTAGCTGAGATGCATGTGCCCGAGAGTCAATGCTAAAAACATTCATCAGAGAGTGCAGGCACAAGCAAAAGATATGTGCAAAATGCATCTATTGGCTTAAATTTAACACATTATAATACGAAAATAAGTACTAAAACTGCAAAACAAGTGATAGACCTTATAACATGCTTACTTACTGGAACACATGTAATCAATTGGAATTCATTCTTGCAAAGAGGACAGAGATTTGTTATGGTTGCCCAATTGTCAATGCAAGCAAAACAAAACCTGGTATGAGATTAAAACAAAAAGATAAATAATAAATAAATAAATAAAAGAACCACATATCACTTTCTCTATATAAGCCAAACATCCATTAAAACCTATAATGAAATAGCTCACTTCCACTTTTTACACCCCATTCTACTGGGAACAAGGAATAAAAAATTTAAAATGAAGTAAATATTCTTTTCAAGAATATACCAATGTTTACAGCAGTCCAAGACCCCTCGATCAATAATGAGATCCATGCATATCCCACATCTATCATACTCAGAGACATCATCATCCTACACACATTAAAATTGAAAAGCTTCAGATTTACAGCAAAACATTTAGCAAGAAAAGATATTTGGTCATCATACTAAAGTAACATATGCAATCAAGGAGCCACTTGTTATGATGGTAAATGATCCTCTTATAGCAGGGTTCAAAAACCCGGCCAAGTGCACTCGAACTCATCTGAGAAGAGGAGTTCCCATGTACCAACTTGGGTAGATGGGAACCTGTACAGTACTTGGGTGAGTACTGCACACATCATACCTCAAAAAAATTAGCAAAACAAGAAATATGGTCATCATACCACAGTAACACATGCAATCAAGGAGCCACCTGTATTGTAAATGATCCTCTTATAAGCAGTGTTCAAAAGCACATATTCGTATGTTACTATCAGTGTTTGAAAAATCGCCGATCCGAATCGAAATCGCTCCATCCGGACCGGATATTGTCCAAAGCGATCCGGATCCAATGATATATTGGGATCCGGAAGAACCAGATTGTCTACATTATTTTAATGTAAAATTTATTTTTTAATATAAATTTCTTACACATGCAGCCACCGTTCATATTATTTTAATACAAATTTCTCACACGTACCTGCAGCAGCCACCGTTTACATTATTTTAAAACTTCTTACACGTACCTGCAGCCACCATAAGTATCTACCAACCACCATAATGAGCATGCAGCTTTACATTAAAGGCTAAGAGATAGAGTTTTATATGGCTATTTTAGCCTTTAAGCGTTGGATGTGGGACTATCCGTGCTTGCTTTTCAAGTGCGATGGAAGACTTATTTGGACCTCATTTATAAGAGTGTGGATTCCATAAGGTTGCAACCTTAAACAATCCATTTAAGGTGCACCTCCAAATTTCATTGTAGCATATAATTTTGATGTAAAAATATTATTAAGATTATCTCAAAATCTATTTTCTAATTATAAAATTTTAAAGTCCAAAAATGATTAAAATCAAGTAGATCTATAAACAAATGAAAAGCTTGAAAATGGACGGTCTAGATAATGTGTTGTAAGATGCATCACTTTTGGGACTCAAAATCCTTTCTTTTTTCATAGTCATACATCTCGACATTGAGACGATCAATTAGAGGGTTTTTCAATACTAAAACAACATTTTCCGATAGATTTTTGAGGTGCATCCGTAGTTCTACATTTTAAGGTTGCAACCTTATATAAACTTTTTCCTTTTTCGGTATAAAGGCTTAGTTGGACTAAGGCAACTAATTTCTTTTAGAAACTAAAAGAACACTATTTTTAAATATTCATAATGATTTTTTAAAAATATTTTGAGACAAAATTTGCTGATTTGGCTGATTCTCCTAATTTATTGTTAAATTTTTAGATTTTTAAATTAGATAATATTAGAAGACAAATTTCAAATTTATTTTTATTTGTATAGTAAAATAATGATAAAAGAATAAAATACATACCAATAATTCTAATTTTAATGTATAATATTGTCTTTAGTTAGATTTTAATAAATATTTGATGAGAATCTTCATACAAGGAACGAAAATCTCAATATTCGCATATTGAGGAAAAAAAATGTAAGTTAATAATGTAGTACGCCCATTTCTTATTGGACTATTAAAAAAAACATTTATAATGAATTTTAATAATTTTTTGAGATTTTTTTTAAGGCTTAATCTATCTGATTTGGCGGACGCCCGATCCAAATCGTCGATTCACCGATCCGGATGGATTTTTGGGGTGCCCGATCCGGGGCACCGATCCGCTTTTTAAACCACTGGTTACTGCAGAACTTGGGCAAGTATATGGGAGGAGGAAGGACAGAAGGGAAGGGGGGTGTTGGAGAGATCCAACCCCCATTTTTGCAAAATATTGTCCATTTGAGCCCCAAATCGACCCCTTTCGCACTCTAGTTTCAGATCAGTGACTCAAAAAGCGGACCGCCCTAAGCGGTCTAGAAGGCCTGGGCGCATTGCCCAGGCTTAGGAGGCTAAACTAGGCGGACGGTCCCTGGGCGGCTGCCTAGGCGATATAGCACTGCGCCCCGCCCAGAGATGGAAATGGATTTTTTTTTTAGGGTAGTTTTGGGGTTGTTTTGAAAAAATAATGTTTTTAAAGGTGGGTTTAGGTTCATTTGAAACCTTAACCAACAAGAACCCATTTTAGAGAGAGAGAAACCTCAAAGCAAACTATATTTTGTAATTTTCATTGGATCGAAGTGTTTCTCAAAGTTATGGGAAATGGATCGAAACATCACCCATCAAGATTAGATTTAGTTTTAGAGTTTTTTTTAGTCTTATTAGAGTGTTTTTTAATATTTTAGAACTAGAAAACATCTCAGCGGTGGAAGTTTGGAGTTCGAGCACTCAAAGTAAGTGCAAAACTTTATTTTTTAAATTGCTTGTATTATTTTGAGATGTCTTCTTCAGGATCTAGTCAAAGTGGTGATCAGGGTTGGAAATATGGATATAACCCGAATCTGAAAGACAAAAATTGTATAAGATGCAATTATTGTGAAAATGATACAAAAGGAGGCATAAACTACTTTAAGAAACATCTTGCCGGTATTAAGGAGAAAGTTGCCCCTTGTAAAAAATTTCATGAAGTTATCAGAGAGTAGATTAACCAATATATGAGTTCAGTAACACACAAACAGGAAGAAAATCCTTGCCATTTGGATAGGTCTATTTCTGGTTCTGCTAGAAGAAGTGATCTGGGTTAGAAGTATGGTCATAACCCGAAACCAAATGATAAAAATTGTATAAGGTATAATTTTTGTGAAAAATATACCAATGGGAGTATTAACCGATTCAAGAAACACATTGCCGGTATTAAAGGGAATGTTGCTTCTCGTAAAAAAGCTCCTGAAGCTATTCAGGATGAGATTAGACAATTTTTTAATTTAGTAGAACCAGAAAATGATAAAAATGAGCCTTGTTCTATGGAAATATCTTCTTTAGGTTATTCTAGAAGTGGTGACCCGGGTTAGAAGTATAGTCATAACCTGAATCCGAATGGAAAAAATCATATTAAATGTAATTATTGTGGAAAGGATACTAATGGGGGAATTTACCGGTTCAAAAAACACCTTGTCGCTATTAAGTGGGATGTTGCTCTGTGTAAAAATGTTCATGAAGCAACCAAAGAGAAGATTATATAATATTTGAGTTCAGGAAAGCACAAAAATATAGAAAAAGGTAGAGCAGCCACATCTGCACAGAGTAAGAGGGAGGTAGAAGAAGACGAGGAATAGGCAAATTCAAAAGAAACAAAGGAGGACGAGCGTTATGTTGAAGAGGGAGATGACTCTGATGATGATGGCCTCGAATCTAATGCATATGATGAAGTTTACCCAGCTCCTTCAGATGATGACGATGATGACTGCAGAATGAAGAGTTGAAGACGCTAGACTCTTTGGTGTTGACTGTTGACTATTGAGTCCTAGACTGTATATTTTCTTTTTCTTATTTTTAGTTTCTAATTTCTACTATCTAACACTTGTGTGCATCAGTGTATGCTTGTATGGTTTTAGCATTGTATGAAAATATGGATTATGGACTATCATATTCTCCTCATTCATGGCAATATCAAATATGGATTATGGATTATGTGTTATATAGTTATATTATTATATTTAGTATATAGTTATGGATAAAAGCATAAAGATTCTAAATTTTATTTTTTCTACCAGGCCGTCCAGGTTCTGGGCGCCTACTTAGGCACTGGGCGGCCTGGACCCCCACGCCTGCCTAGGTGTCGCCTAGCGCTTTTTGAAACGCTGTTACAGATTTAGCTTCAAATCACTAGATCTACCAATGGAGGCATTAGATCCAAAACAAACAGCATGTCATATTTTTCATATTTTGAAAATAAAAAAACTAGGAATTTTTTTGCCCAATTTTGGAAAGCCTTGATTTCTTCGATTCTAGTAGCCAATCTTTGATGATATTGAAGCTTAGGATCATCTATGTGTTCTTGACCATGCATAAGCTAGTCCCTCCACAAAAAGAAAAGAGGAATTTCAATTCTTGTTGGATTTTCTAATAGTTCAAAAATTTGGAAACCCTTGGATCTCATAGATCCAAAGTCCGATCCCAAAAGTTGTTTGGGGTGTTTTCAATTTTGCTGCATAAGGAAGGTTTGGTCCAGATTTGAAGCCCCAAGTCGCACCGAGCACAAAGATCCAGATTACAGCCTTAAAATTTAAGGTAAATCTTACCCTTGTTTGGAGTAGATCCTGAGGTTTCACCGAGTTAATCGGAGCAGATGAAGAAACTCCAGACAAAGAAGACTAACCCTCCAAAGAAAGGAGAGATAAAGGTGAACCTGGAGCTAAGCTTTGAATGGGAGTAGATTGAAGATGTTCAGGGCAGACCTCTGGACTTGGGAGAGGGGAACTAGGGTGCCTAGGGTTCGTATGCTATAGTCTTGGGGTGAGGGGTACGATTATGGACAGGATGTGAAGGTGAACATCCATCTTCTATGTGGAGGCATCCATCCTCTCCACTGTGACCGATGAGACACTTGTCCTTCCTCAAGGGAGGCCACTTGGGTATGGGCACTAGAGAGGGTGGTGCCTATACCATAAGGGGGTTACATGTCAAAAGGGCCAACTAAGGTAGGTGGGTAAGGGGGCTAGATCAGACTGGGTAGGTTCCAAGAGCTCGCCGGCCAGGTTATGATGAGAAGGATGCGGTGGCTGCACATTAGATGGAACAGGGAAGGAGGGTACCAGAGAATGTGACACTTGGGTACGGAAGGGCAACTAACTATCTAGGAAAGGCGGGTAGCTAGAGGCAGCTATAGGCAAAAGAGCATTTAAGGAGGCCTCAGACATTAATAACATGGTCGGCACTGTCAAGAGGTTCATCATTGCGGAAGTCTTCAAGGAGGATGAGTTGGATCTTGCGATGTCTTTGGCACCTAGTGAGAATCCACATACGGTTGGAGAGTGTGTTTAGTAGATTGCGGTGCCGGTGGATCATGGTTTTGGGAATGGATCTGAACAGGGCCCTGGGCATTTCTTCTCTGTTGCCTATTGTGCACCATGGTCCAACCTCTACCATGGTCAAGATCTCTATCCTATGTGTTCTCGAGATCCACTTTCTTTCACCCATGGCCACTCTCCCTATACTCGCTAGTTCTCATTGCTACTGTTGCACTTTTGTACACAAAACTTCTGGAGTAATCAAGATCGATAGAGGAATTTCAACATGGAGGGAGGACTCAATTGAACCCCAAAAGATTTCTAATGGATGATCACGGAACCCCCACAACAAGCTCCAATTTCTTTGAACACTTGTTGATGCCACAGGTCATCAGGGATGCCTTTAGCTGTAATCCATATTTTCTCTTTTTTCATTGCTCCCATAGATTCCACCCACTTTTTTAGCTTCAGACAACCCCCTTTGAGGGAGAGGTTTTGGAAGGTTAAGGCACTAAGAGTAGCCTCTTCTGAAGAAAAGGATATTAGGATATTATTTGAGGAAGAGCTCTGCAATGAATGGACCTGATTGGAGGGAAGCTCCAGCCACTTTTAAATACCTCTAACTTCGTTTCTTTGGGGGTGGAATTGGGCCAACAGGGACTGATCCAGGATATACTACGTTCTTCCAATTCTAGGTTCTGGGTTTTGGAGTAACCAGAACTGAACATGGGGAAAGCCATCTTTAACTAAATGTCCCCAGTTATGGGGACACTAGGGTAGAGGATTACTAGCTTTGGTTGAGGAATAAGTTAAGTGAGAAAGAGATGGAGGGCTGCTTAGAATGGTTTTAAAAGGTGGGAAAGAAGTTTGCTATATGGAATTTGAGTAATTTTGCTTTGACAGGGTTTGGAGGTACCTTAAGGGGACCAACAACGTAGGTGTAGGACCCAGACTTCTGTGAGATTTGAGAAGGCTTAGCTTTGATCAGATAGTAATAATTGTGGTAGAGATCTTGAAAGCTGGACTGTTCCTTTGAAGGATTTCGGTGGCGGCCAAGCTATGGTCCATTAGGAACCTCTAGCTCTAACCTAAGAGCCCTCTAAACCCCACTGGGGGCCTCACTGTCTTACGGGACAAGGATGACAGGCTCCTCCTACACCTCCCCACATCTTCCTTCACCAACAACTGGCAGAACCTCCTCAACCTTAATTAAGGCCATGCACTATAACTCCTTCCTGGTCCCCTCCCACTGAAGGAGTCCTTAAGCTAAACATTGATGTATGATGCTTGGGAAACCCAGGCCCCGCAGGTATGGTAGTTTACTTAGAAACCAAGAGGGTCAGACCTATCTTTTTTCAAATATTTAGTTATCTCCAACTCTAATTTTGCATAATCTATAGCCATGCTAGAAGTTCTTCAGATGGTGTTCTCAAAATTTAGAACTAGGGTTCATAGCAGTGGAAGGAGTTAAAAGAAGTGTTATCGCATGGGAATCATACAAGATTGAGAGCCCTTAGTGCCTCCATCAAATATTTGACAATATACACTCTTTGAGAAAGGATCACAAGGTGGCCTTCGGCCAAGTACATAGAAGTGCTAAGCATCCTGCAGACTCTTTGGCCAAGCTAGGGGCAGTCAGTGCAACCAACACAGCAAACTAGCAGGTATGACCTCTAAACCTACTACCCCGTTGCAAAAACCCCAAGCCCCTCTCTTCTCCAATCCCACTTTTATCTCAATTTCAACTTTTACCTTTTCTTAACTTTTGTTTCTTCCACAACAATCGCTAATTCTTATTTCCTCAACTATCTATCCTCTCCCGGTCCACACATGTGTGAGAGAAACTAGAGTATATTCCAATGAATCCATGCTCCAAAGAGGAACAAGTTGAAGACAAAGAGGCTGCACAAGCTGGTAATGTTCATTACAATATCAACTTGAGGAAGAGTCATAAGGAGGGAGATCAATGATTGTAACCCAATCAGCCTCGACTAGATTTTCAATAAGGGCCCAGCAAATGAATGGCTGGTGGAGTAGGAAGAAGCGGTAGTCAACAGGAGGGACCTCGAAGAAGCGGTTGCAAACGAGCCCCATGACCTAGAGGTGCAAGGAACTAACTAGGAGGATGAGCAAAAGGCACAGGTAAGGGGAGCTGAGGCGCAGGATGGTGGGACCTCCACTAAGGAGGAGGCCCCAACTTGAGGGCTACAAAGGGCAAGACATAGCTATAGCTATGAGCAGCATAGTCCACATAGCCAGAGACGTAGCCTACGACTAAGCCAGCTACTCAGCCCAGGTGGTGAGAAAGAGGCCCCAGGAGAGGGAAAGATCCAAGGTGGGGTGAGCAGGTGGGCTATTAGTGGCCAATTTGACTGAGGTGCCAGTCTAGAAAGGAGGTACCTCTAGGATAGGGATTCCTCCCTCTATCTGACATATATTTGGTGGCAAGGACCCCACCTTAATAGCGAGACCCAAGGGTCTGATCTCAAACAACGCTCCTTTTATTTATAGGTATATAGTTTGTATATTTGTTGTATAGAATATATGTGGGATGAGCTTGCATTTTAAATGCATTTTATACTCCAAGTGCTTTGTATTTCATAGCTTATAATTCAGAGCTATTGTATACATAATTTCTTGCATAATTTTTTATTATGCATATTAATTTTCCATCATTATAGCTTTTTTAAAAGAAAAAAATTTTCTTTTTTCTTTTTCTTTTTTCATTTGTCTTTTTTCTTTTTTCTTTTTATTTTTTATTTTTTCTTTTTTCTTTTTTCTTTTTCCTTTTTCCTTTTTTCTTTTTTCTTTTTTCTTTTTTCTTTTTTCTTTTTTCTTTTTTCTTTTTTTCTTTTTTTCTTTTGGTTTTGGGGGTGGGGGAGAGGGGGAATTGGCGGGGGATCTTCCCCTTTCTTTCTGATTTTCCCCGAGTCCTTTGTGGACTATTCGACTCAGACAATGGCCGAGTACCAAACCTCAGCACATTTTTTGCACATTACTTACAAGTTATTAATGAAGTTCTTTATTGGGGGTCACAGGGAGGCTAGAAGCTTCAAAGTTACAATTGTGAGAGATCCACCAATGCAAACATATACACACAATAATGCATATTCCAAGGTATGACCAGAACCAATACAAAAATAATGACAGTTTTACAAAGAGAAATATAGGCTAGTGTCAATCAGGAAAGAGATGGTTCAAGAATATAGAAGCCAACTAAGAAATTTTTCTAATGTTAGCCTCCACTGACCTTTAAAGGACACGAAAATCTACCCTAACACAGAGAAAGAAATGTCCAGATAAGACATTGAAAAAAAGATATAACAAAAGATCTCAATAATAAAATAAAATAAAGAAATCTAACCTCAAATATTTTTGTAAATTATACTCATTATATATATAAAATTTAACATTTCTTCAAACACTTCAAAGATTTTGTACATGGTATCCACATTGAGAAACCGCACTAGTTAAAAAGAGAACAACTGGAAAGGGGTGAATAAGGCAGGAAGTTACCAAATCTTCCTGGACTTCATAACCAGCTTCATTAAATTTTCCAAATTCATGCTCTTCGGAATCCATCATAAACTTCAATCGAGCCGCTACTCCCACTCATTAAGTGATCTGCCAAATAACATAGAATTACAGGCATTGGGTGTTTGTTGTCAAAATCGTCAGTTAGTGCGTGCACTTACTTATATCTAGAAAAGAGTTCTCGAGAGAAGACCCCCTACACAAAGACTCATAATCATTGTAATTCACATAGATGAATGGGGGAAAACAATATATACATAACCAACATATATAAGACTCTGGAATTGAAATATAAATTATATTTCACTACCGATGTAAATCATTGAATTTACCGATAGTAGAGAAGAAAAAAATCAGTAATAGTTCATCAATAATAGTTTAACGCAATAAATGGCACGCTTTCTAAAAGTAATTGATTCTATTATTCGTTTTTTGAGGAGATTTGAGTAAATGGAAGTCCCCAAACCACAAATTTACAGAGAAACGAGAAGGAATAACAAAATGAGATGAAAATTTTAGTAGCAGAAAGATAAGTTACCTGAAGGTGGAGAGCGTCATTTTCCTACAATCGAAGGAGGGAGTCATGGTCATGCGCGCGACTTCACAGATGCTGGGTGTTTTCTTTAACGCGGTGATTCTTTCTTGGGAGACCTTTCAGAGCTAGAATCACTCGTTTATAGCCCTTACTCTCTCCCTCTGACTTGGATGAATGGGTTTGGTTTCTGGTGTGATCTGTACCATATGCTGCTGTCTTCGCTCCCCTCGTTCGTTTGAAAGAACGCCTTCTGTCCCTCCGTAACGTATACACCAGTATGGTACGTTTGGTTCGCCGGAAATGGTTTTCCATCAAACATTTTCGTATGAAAAAATATATCGGTAGTGTGGTTGTGGGGACCATTTCCGCATCAATTAGTTCGTTAATTGATATAAAAGGATGACTAATTGGTACGAAAATATTCTTACACTTAATTACATGGGAGAAATTTTTTTATGTGAAAATTTTTTTAAAAAAATAATTTCACATGAACCAAATTTAGATGTGTTTTTATATATGTACTTCTTTTAGGATTTGAAACTCCATTTTTTTTTCACACCTCTAATAGTCAGGGTTGAGATCATTGACGGAAAAATTGGGCGATCTAACATGTGGCTACTACCTGAATCGGGTTTCGTCCGATTTTGATGACCAGCCGAGTATTTTAAAACAAAAATTATATAAAATCTCAAAAAATAAAGGATTTTGTTTGTATAATATTTGTTAATGCTTTTCATATTAATACTTATTTTTATATTTTTGTCATCTTTTTTGAAAAGTTTCAAAAATACCCTTGACACAAATTGATTCTTTAAAATTTATTTTTTTCATTAATTATCAACTTCATTTAGATGTGCTTTATTTAATTATTATTTAAATATCTTTTTAATATTTTATTAGATTTTTTTGTATTTTTTATTTATTTATTT